TAAGGGGGGTTAGGTTATACGGAAAAGCTTTTAAGAAGAGGTAAAATTAATGGTTTTTATTAATATTTGATAATTTTCGTAAGAAAACCATAAGTATCCATTTAGCTCAATGCATAGAAAACAAATACCGATCCTTGCAGTAATGAAAATGATGACAATAAATGCAGAAATATTCGGTTTATAAGATTTCGTGAACTGTCAAACTTCAGAAAAGATCCAATTTTACTCCTCTCTAATCGATCTGTACAGGGTACAGAGGGAGGGAAGGCAACCTCCCCCCGCATAGCTTCTGAACCTCATTCGACCTATTTGCGGCAGTGCGGGTTCCCAATGGGCTTTCGGAGCTCCCCCAAACAGTATTCCACAAATGATCTTCCGTTTATAATCGTAAATTTCTACTTAAAACGGAACTAATTCGATTATTTAAGAAATAAAAAATATTCTTCATAAAATGTTGATTCTAAATAATATCGCCGTTTGTAAATTTTCTTTCTATTTATTGAGATATTTAAATAAAGCAAAACTCTGTTATATAACCTAATGATTTTAAAACTATTGGCGCTTTATTTTACAAGCGCTACAGATTTGAAAAACATGTAGATCGACAATAATTACATTTTCTTTATTTAGAGTGTAGCCAAAATTACCCATTATTGTTATTTAATGCATGATTTTGCTTAATATAAATCTATGCTTTTGTCTGCTAATGAAATTTGTTTATGACGTAACAGATTCTTAGACCAATCAGAGCCTAGACTATAGAAAACCTAACCAATCAAACAGTAAATTAAACAATGGGGAAGGGGAGGGGGAAAGAAGGAACAGAAACGCTATATTAAACAAAATCTTCAAAGTTTTCGTTTTCCAGCCCGAACTTTGATTGTAAAAAAGAAAAAAAATATTATGAAAATGTTCAGGATACTATAGATGGACTACCGTGCTTAAATAATCAATTTAGTCCCGTTTTAAGTAGGAGTTGACGATTTAAAACGGAAGATCATTCCTGGAATACTGTTTGGGAGAAATTCGGAAGCCCTATGGGAACGAGCACTGCTGCAAATAGGTCAAATGAGGTTTAAACGCTGTGCGGGGGAGGTAGCCTTTCCTCCCTCGTGTACACTTTATTAGATAATTGGGAATCGTTATTATCAATTTTTAGATATTTATTTTTGTGTTAATAGAAGGCACTTCAAAAAATGCTTCAACTCTTGAACTTCTTCTAGAATTTTTGGCAATTTTTGAAATCATCTCTGGATTGTTCAGCAGATTGACCCATCCAACTTCTCAAAACAAAACACTAAAGCTTATAACCTATGATTTTACTTTCATATTTGACATTTTAACTTTAGTTTCCAGGATCTCATATTTTGATTTTGATTTCAACAGCAACTCTGATATTGATACCTAGAATGGTATTTAAGAGGCTTCACTAAAACCTCCAGTACTTCAAAAGTTAAATTTTCAAATTTTTTCTGTTATGAAGTTCTACAAAGTTTGATTCTGACAGAACAAATAAGCCTAAACAAAGCAAAACAAATCGTTTGATATCAAACTATTTAAAAAATCTGGTTTATATCTTCTGCCAGATCTGGAGGAAGATATAAACCTGACGTTATGATTTAATATTAGTAACGTTACTTGGCTTGCAGGGCATACAGTCAATAATTTAGGATTATAAGAAAATGTAAATCACTGAAAATTCTGTTGTTGAATACAATTAAATGTTTTTTCCACTCTAGTTTGATTGGGGAAACAAATTTCTTTTAAGAAAACTTTCTTAATCCATATTTGCAGAAGACGATTTTACCGTAAAAAATATCTAATTTTTTAGGAGTCTAATAAGAGCGTAGAAGAATATGTTAAACATCCAGTGAATTCATATAATTTACTAAAGGAATCAAACACAAACATAATAGAAAAACTATTAATCGGTTCAATTTCTTTTGGTTGGTTTTAGGGTTTCCAGCGATAAGGAAAAATCGTTTCGCGCAAAACAAAATTTTCGCGAAAATTTCGCTTCATTCTCGCATTTTGTAAACTTGCAAAAATGCAAAAATTTTCGCTTTTTTCGCAAAATTTCACTTCAATCTGTTTCGCGAAAAAATCGAAATAAAAAATGCAAAAATTTCGCGAAAAAATAATGCGAACATTTAGCGAAAACAATGCGAAAATTGAACGTATGTATTGTGGATGGACAGGCAGAAACTTAAAAAGATAGCTAATGAAATCAAATTCTCTTCATCAAACATTTATGAAAGTAAAGAAAGAGGACTTATTTAAATGACATAATAAAACTTCAAATATTGAGCAGAGAATACAGGGAGAATTCTACAAGTTCTTCTGAGCAATTAATTGTTGCAGATAATTTTCCCTTTTCACGAAAGTTTTTATCAAAATTTTTGCATTTCGCATTTTCGCTTCATTTATTTTCGCGAAAAAGATTGCGAAAGGCGACTGAAAGCGTTCGCATTTTTTCGCTAAACGTTTCGTTCGCTGGAAACCCTAGTTGGTTTACTAGAAATCATTTAATTTGGTTTGGTTTACTAGAAATCATTTGATTTGGTTAACGAGATATTATTTGGTTTGGTTTACTAGAAATTATTTGGTTTGGTTTACTAGAAATTATTTGGTTTGGTTTACTAGAAATTATTTGGTTTGGTTTACTAGAAATTATTTGGCTTGGTTTACTAGAAATTATTTGGTTTGCTTTACTAGAAATTATTTGGCTTGGTTTACTAGAAATTATTTGGTTTGGTTTACTAGAAATTATTTGGCTTGGTTTACTAGAAATTATTTGGTTTGGTTTATTAGAAAGCTGGGGCTCATATTCCTATGATGTTGAACACCTTGACGCATCTAAATACATCTGAATCTACAGCAATGAAGACGGAACTAGTAAATATAATTCAACACACTGAAGTTCTTAAAACTGTAAGTGAGAAGGATATGTATGGGGCAGCTAAAGGTAAAGAATGTTTGTCAGGTTTTTACCAAAGTTTTAAAAAGAATCTTTTTTGTTGGCAATATTTGAATTGTTTCTTCTAAAACTAAATTTTATATTTGTAGCCCTGATTTTTATAATTCATGCCTACAATCTGGATACAGAGAAGTTCAGGTGAGTTTTCATATTTAGAAAAAACATCATTTGTTATCTCTATGTATTTTTTTTCTCGCAAAGTTTAGCTAACTTTAAAAAAAAAATAATTTTAGTTAAATGAATTGTTTAAGATGACCAAAACATATTTTAGTTAATTGGTTCATAGAGATTCAACGTGCTTTGAAATATTGCATCAATTCTCAAGAAAGGGACAACTTTGAAGTGTCACAAAACCTAGGGCTTTGATTTTACCAAGCTCTATATTTGACTTATTTTTAGCTTTAGTTTTTCATATTCTCATTAATTTTTGCATTAGAGCTTGCAACCTTTAAATCACAGTAGTGGGTTTGATGTTACAATATTATTGAACCAAGTTTAATTCTTTGTACAGTGGGACCCAGAAACTCTGTATTCTTTGTAAAAAGCGTAGGCGACATGGATACATCAAGTATAAAATACAATTCACACTGTATAATATGTATACAGGGTGGGTGAAGTGGATACAACTGGTATAAGATACTATTCACACTGTATTATATGTATACAGGGTGGGTGAAGTGGATACAACTGGTATAAGATACTATTCACATTGTATAATATGTATACAGGGTGGGTGAAGTGGATACAACTGGTATAAGATACTATGCCCACGGGGCCAAACACCAAGGTATGTATTGTAATGAACACAGTACAAGGTTACCCTCTAATGAAGAGACTTCATAGACGACTGTACAGTATTTATTCGTTTTTTTTACTACACTCCTGGTCGTCGTTAAAGCCTAATCTTAGTTACATCTAGAAAGTAATTTTGTTCTTTAATGGCTGACTTGATGATTTGGTAAAGAAAGAAACAAGTTTACAGTTGAAGTAATCATGAATATAAGGAAACAGAGAGTAGGAATGCTGTCCATAAGGAAACAGTGAGTAGGAATGCTGTCCATAAGGAAACAGAGAGTAGGAATGCTGTCTATTTGTCTCTGAAGGCTCATCCTTTGTGTGTAATCTTGTAAATGTAGAAAATAGTAGATTAGCGCTTTCTGTCATGTCTCAAAACTTAATAATTTGACTGTCATAACTTTTTTCCCCATTTATCATCTAGGGTTTCCATTCGCAAAACTTCTGCGCAATTTTTGTGGAAGAAAGCGCAATTTTTTGCTTTCGGTGCGCTACATTTTTGCGTGAAAAAAGCACTTTGCGTAATCATTCGCAAACTTTATTTTGCGAAAAATTGTCCTTTTTTGCTTTTGCGTTATTCTGTTTTCCGCAATTTTGGAATTTTGCAATTTTGCGGAACAAATTCGAAGTAAAAGGTTGAATAAAGGTCTAAACTATTTAAATCTATGAGATCTCATTTTTTTTGCAAATAATTGTATTGCTTAAAAAGGAAATGATTACTTGCCTAAAACTCTATTTTTCAACCTGATGCATGATGGCAAACTGAAAATCAAGAAGTGCACACGATCTCACACAAAAGTCGAACAGTATTTTGCCAACTTCTCATTTAAAACTTAAGATAGAAACAGATGCGTAGCATTTTTAAAATGTATATGTCTTGGCCTACAAAAAAGTATCAGTGAGTTGGCGACGATACTGCAAAGTCGAAAGTGTATAAAAATTTTATGATTAAATTTTAGCGTTGTCTTTTCCTCAATTGTCAAATTTCTAATTTCTTTTTGTCCCTCAATTTGAACTAAAAATAACCATTTGAATCATGATTTATTTCGCTGTGAATTCTTAATTAGATTCTGTGCTGAAACTGTCAAATTTTGGTCGATTTGCAAAAACATTTATTGCGTAAAAATTTACGTTTTGCGAAAATCACGCAAAAAATCACGCAAAAAATTGCGCAAAACGCGAAAATCTCATTGAACTTCATGCACAAAAGTTTGCAAATAAATTATTTGCGCGAAAATTACGCAAATGTTGGGCATAAGATATGGTAATTTCGTGGTGGAAACTCTACCACCTCCCCTTTCTGTAAATCATGATCACTCCTCTTAAAATATTAATTTTCAGGTGACTCTGAGCTAATATTTCTTGATCTTGTGTTTATGGCAATGGAGTCCAAAAAACTAGGTAGCGATAGAATCCACCAACTCATTGAAAATATTTTTTTCAGAATTTTTTTTGAAATAAAACAAATAAAAGTTATCGAAAAAGTCATATGCTTTTTAACCTATGGATTATTTCCAGATATCGCGATCTTTAAAATGAAATTAAGGATTTGAGAATGGATTTTTAATCTTTCTTTTTTTAAGGTTTGATTAACACTGGATTAAAATTAATGAGAAGTGCATTTAAAGCACTAGAGAATTCTACTGAACCACTAACTCTATCTCCGGATAGACAAGCTGATGTTGAGAAAACGAAACGAGATCTGATTCAACTCAACAACAACTTTATCACGAATAAGAAAACCTTTATCAATGATTTAATTGTTGTGAACCAGGTAGAAACAAAATAACTCAAGTAATAGTTTGGAGATTGTCTCTTTACTTTGTCTGATCTTTAGTGACTTGTTGAAAATGGAACAGGAGATTAAAGGGACTGTCAACGTATTTTGAAGAAACCCTTCGTTTTAAAATTTAAATCATTTTTTTCAGAATAACGTTCACAGGGCCGGTTTCAATGCAAATTGTTCATATAACTTTAAAAAAGGAATCACTTAAAACTACACAGCCAGTCCCTTTAACACATTTTATTTAGTATCTTGTCAACGAGAGTCTTGAGAAGAAGAAAACCCAACCTAAGTTTGTAAAGTCAGGAGCTGTTAAAAAGATAGACCCCAGAATGGCGACAGCCTTCGGTGGAGACTTCTTTCAGATGGAAGCATTGTTCCAGGTACAGGGTGTCCCATTGTTCCAGGTGTTCCAGGTACAAGGTGTCCCATTGTTCCAGGTACATAGTGTCCCATTGTTCCAGGTACAGGGTGTCCCATTGTTCCAGGTACAGGGTGTTCCATTGTTCCAGATACAGGGTGTCCCATTGTTCCAGGTACAAGGTGTCCCATTGTTCCAGGTACATGGTGTCCCATTGTTCCAGGTACAGGGTGTCCCATTGTTCCAGGTACAGGGTGTCCCATTGTTCCAGGTACAGGGTGTCCCATTGTTCCAGATACAGGGTGTCCCATTGTNTACCTAACTATTTACAGAATGGTATGTAGTATGTACGATACCTAACTATTTACAGAATGGTATGTAGTATGTACGATACCTAACTATTTACAGAATGGTATGTAGTATGTACGATACCTAACTATTTACAGAATGGTATGTAGTATGTACGATACCTAACTATTTACAGAATGGTATGTAGTATGTACGATACCTAACTATTTACAGAATGGTATGTAGTATGTACGATACCTAACTATTTACAGAATGGTATGTAGTATGTACGATACCTAACTATTTACAGAATGGTATGTAGTATGTACGATACCTAACTATTTACAGAATGGTATGTAGTATGTACGATACCTAACTATTTACAGAATGGTATGTAGTATGTACGATACCTAACTATTTACAGAATGGTATGTAGTATGTACGATACCTAACTATTTACAGAATGGTATGTAGTATGTACGATACCTAACTATTTACAGAATGGTATGTAGTATGTACGATACCTAACTATTTACAGAATGGTATGTAGTATGTACGATACCTAACTATTTACAGAATGGTATGTAGTATGTACGATACCTAACTATTTACAGAATGGTATGTAGTATGTACGATACCTAACTATTTACAGAATGGTATGTAGTATGTACGATACCTAACTATTTACAGAATGGTATGTAGTATGTACGATACCTAACTATTTACAGAATGGTATGTAGTATGTACGATACCTAACTATTTACAGAATGGTATGTAGTATGTACGATACCTAACTATTTACAGAATGGTATGTAGTATGTACGATACCTAACTATTTACAGAATGGTATGTAGTATGTACGATACCTAACTATTTACAGAATGGTATGTAGTATGTACGATACCTAACTATTTACAGAATGGTATGTAGTATGTACGATACCTAACTATTTACAGAATGGTATGTAGTATGTACGATACCTAACTATTTACAGAATGGTATGTAGTATGTACGATACCTAACTATTTACAGAATGGTATGTAGTATGTACGATACCTAACTATTTACAGAATGGTATGTAGTATGTACGATACCTAACTATTTACAGAATGGTATGTAGTATGTACGATACCTAACTATTTACAGAATGGTATGTAGTATGTACGATACCTAACTATTTACAGAATGGTATGTAGTATGTAGGATACCTAACTATTTACAGAATGGTATGTAGTATGTACGATACCTAACTGTATCCTATAAACAATTAAAAATCTATCTCTCTCTTAAAATTCTTACAATTTTCTTCTATTTCTCAGTCCACAGGTCGCTTTAAAAACTAGAATTTTAAATAATCAATTTTAAGCTCTAAAAACAAGGACTTAAAATGAAATTCTCGAAAATAATTATTTCTATTGTTAGGGTTGCAGGAATGAATTTAACCTACTTCCGAAATTTGAAGTCCCTAATTGGCCGCTTGTCAGCAAATGTCGTCTTCTGCATCATGACGATCCATATTTGAAACTTGGACCATTCAAGATGGAGGTAAAGTTTTTATTTATCATAGCGTGGAAACCCAGCTTTGTCTTGAAATCTTGAAATGCAATTCGAACAGTAACGGTCTGATCTGATATACAAACAACAAACAACTTTGCCTGGAAACCAACTGTTATCTATAAAAGTCAATCAACAGAATTCATAATTTCAAACCAAATTAAGGTCATTTACATTGTGCAACAGACTTCAAATTTTCGTGTAGGCCCATGGAAAAAATTACCAAAATAAAATTTGTACTGTGGCCGAGTTCAGTGTAGATAGATAGATAGAATCATATCTATAAGCGGACCGTGGTCAAGGGGTTGGAGCAAGAAGTATGGAATAGAAGGGAGATACAACTGACGCGGCCCGCCCTACCATATGATTATACATGCTTTGCAAACGGTACTACATTTGTATAAGAAATATTTAGAATAGGTTATTGTATACGCGGTAATTGTACATCAGACAAATATTTCTTATTCAAATGAAGTACCGTCTGCAAAGCATGTATATCTCCCTTCTATTTCATACTCCTTGGGTTGGAGTTATGATCAAACAGAGACATCCTAACAGAGATTACTACTTTTAAAATACATAGATTCAACTCTACATAAAAATACATTGTAAATAATTACATGTAGGTCGCCAGTGAAACTCCTTTTATAATGGTGATTCATGAAATACTTACTGACGAGGATACAGAGTATTTTGTAAACTGGGCAACTCCTAAACTATCAAGATCAAGAAATCTTGATTTTCAAAAGTATGGAAAAACAGATAAAGAGAAGAAGGTGATTGTGCAGTTTAAATAATAATAATTATCGGTAATTCTCAGGACTCTACTCACTCCCCTCCCCCCTATATAATTTTAGCCTAAATACTTCATAGTTTTAAATATGTTTAACGTGCATAATTATTCATAACTTTTTTCTTAATAAAATAAAACTGCCAAAAAGAGGTCCATCTTTCTCACAAAGGAAAGAGTTGAATATATGTTTAGGAGTATTAATTTCTGTGTTATCATTTTCTTTATTATCAAAAATAGAAATGTTGAATGAAGAATTTCAGATCATCTTTGTAATTTTGTTTTATACACTGTAGGAAAGCTGTAACTCGTAGAATGCTACCTTTTATAAAGTTCATATTAAGTTTATTTATGTTTTGATTAAATACCACGTCAAACTATAGTAAATTACACGTACACCCTCAACTTAGCTTCTCGTGCGTAACTGCAGTTATCTGCTCTCCACTGACCGAAGTTATAGTATGCGTATGGTAGAGAGTGCGTATAAGAATAAAGCGTAACATGTGTTCAATAATAACTTCTCTTATATGAAAGAGCTATTTCATGTTTGAGAATAAATTTTTTTCTTTCTAATTTCTAATATGTTACCCAAGATAAATTGGTTACCAAGATATTACAGGATAAATTTGCTTTCCTCATTATACTTGTTTGCAGTACTACGAATATGCTTGCACAACAAGTAAAATATAGATTTTTAAACAAAATACATTTGTATTGCAGACATATCGTACAGCCCTTAAGCAATAACATAAAATATAAAAATAATTTTAAATTAGGTTTTACAATTCTAATTCTTAACAAAGACGATCTGGAAATTGTAACTCAATTCCCGTGTTTATTGGGACACTCTGTACAGTAAGGTTTACCCACAAGCAAACGATGAAACTTCAATAACAAATCAAATAAAGTCAGAATTTCAGTGTTGTGAATTTTAGGATAAAGCAATGATTTCCATGCTTATGCAGACTTACTCACTTTAAATATCGGAAATTGGGAATCCAAGAATCCAGCTGGGCATACCCCTGTTTTTGCATTTTTATTATAATTAAAAACGGCAAACTTCAAACTGAATAAACTTCCTCAATTTTTAGTTCTACAAACCTCCAAAATTGAAAATGTCCAAAAATTTAAAAATCGGATTATCATAAGAGCTCTAATAGCCCTGAATTCCACATTTCAACAGTTGAACAAAAACTTTTTTCTTGGGATATTTAGAGTGTATACTATATAAACATAGAATGCTGTATAATGAATAATATAGAATGTTTACAAAGAAAATCTATTTTAGTTCCGTGTTGTTGCTAAATCAGTTCAGGCCTGGATGCCTGAGATAAGCTATCATCAACCTGATAATCAATATAATCCTAATAATTTTACAGTAAATCATCCCAGGTAAATATCTACATTTCTTTATACTTTGCTCTGCTGTTTGTTTGTATGTTTATTGTTTATATCCAATAAATGTAAAAACGGTTGTACCGATCGGGCCCAACATTTTTGAGGCAACTCAATGACCCCAGAGAAGGTTTATGAATGCTCGGAATTTCCAAAAATTGTCTTTCAAAAAATTCGATTAAGTTTTAAAATCCACGAAAAAATATGATGAAATCCACGAATTTTTTTGTTTGTTATTGTTTTACATTTTACGAAGAGAACATGCCAGAATTCAAAGTTGAAAAATAAGAATGGCCCGAAACGCAGTACTTTATAAAGAGACTGATAATGTACATAATTGGTTTTCGGATTGTTTATAGTTTGGCTAGGAAAATAGTAGTCTAGATTAAAAAACTGGAAAATTTTGTTAGGTGTTGGAATATTTTATAAATTTATATTTCATAGATAACGAATGTAAAAGGGTGGGGCTGGGTGCACGGGCCCCCCTACGTGTCATTATATTTCGTAATACATCCTATGAAAATATAGATATTTTTAAGGAAACGTTTCCCTCTCTATTTTTCACCATTGAAGCTTACACCACAGTATTAAGAGGGAGTGTCTGATGAGTCCAATTAAGAAATTTACATAAATAATTTATTAACACTTTGGATGGAACCGTTCTCGACTATAAGAACACCAAGAACGGAAATGAACGGAACGTGGATGGAACGATTGGAAAAAGAACGAACGAGATCGGAACGATTTAGTTGGAGGCCTTCGTTCTAGAACCGAACGGAACGATTTCAAAAAATTCGGAACGTGCCCAGCCCTAGACTTCAAACACTTTTTTATTGTTGTGAACATTCCCACTTGGAAAAATTGCACATTCTGATTTAGCTATTTGGGAATCTTTCACGTGAGAAAAGTCAAAGTACCGAGCATAGAAAATCAGAACTTATGCAATCTAGCATATTTCTTGCTGCATCGACTCAATATTACCTATAATACGTAATTTGAATTGACCATCCATTTTAAACTAGTTTTTTACAACAATTCTTATAGATATTTGTTATTTGTTACTTAGTAACGGGGTTTACTTTCGAAAGTTACATTTTTGGCATTTTCTAAAATCAGAGACTTAGAGCTAGCTTCCCAGTAATGGATTTAGAGTGGGGGAGGAAATTATCCCCCCCCCCCCTCCTTGAGCAATCTGGTTTAGAAGAAACCAAGCGCAGAATTAAGAAATAGTGTTAACTAATCTTCATGTTTTAGGGTTCATAAGGTCTCAGCTAGGATGGAACTTGCTTTTAATCTTAACCTTACAAACCAATGGAGTTCTAATGTGTAAGAAGCATTTTTTATTTCTGACTTTATACACAGAATTATTAACGTAGATGTATAGGACCAAAGGATTAAAAGTGCCAGAAAGAATGGGACTGAAAAGACAAGACAAAACTTCAAATAATAACAGTGTGAAGCTTGATTTTTAGTTTCTGCATTCAATTGAGTATTTTGATGGTTTATTTAATAGTTCAGCGCGGAAATAAGCCAGTTTTAGCCTACAAGGAAACCAGAAATACAAGGAACCAGAAATACAAGGAACCAGAAATACACGAAACCAGAAATACAAGGAACCAGAAATACAAGGAACCAGAATTATATGAGGAACCAGAAATACAAGGAACCTGACAAAACAAATTCAGTAGAATTGTCTCTGAAGTCTTCTGTTTTGTGGGCAACCTTGTACAGTACACTGAGATCTAGACAACTCTGAAACAATTATTTGACAGCCTCGACTTTAAAGTGTCGCAACGCTTTAACCTTTGGTTCTACCTCACCAACTCACAAGTACTTTTTTGTAGCCCTAGACATGTTCATTTCAAGTATGCACCGCGCTTTTTTCTAGCTTAAGTATAAAAATAGAAATTGAGACTGCTTGGTTTTTGCTTTAAAGTGTGGACATCTTGGTTTACAGTGTGTAGTTTACCTTCAACATTTGGAAATTAATTTTTAATGATTAGATCGCTAAATCACATTTTAATGATTAGATCGCCAAATCACATTTTAATGATTAGATCGCTAAATTACATTTTAATGATTAGATCGCCAAATCACATTTTAATGATTAGATCGCCAAATCACACTTAAATAATTTGATCGTCCAATCACATTTTAATGATTAGATCGCCAAATCACATTTTAATGATCAGACCGCCAAATCACATTTTAATGATCAGACCGCCAAATCACATTTTAATGATAAGATCGCCAAATCACATTTTAATGATATAGATCGCCAAATCAAATTTAAATAATTAGATCGCCCAATCACATTTTAATGATTAGATCGCCAAATCACATTTTAATGATTAGATCGCTAAATCACATTTTAATGATTAGATCGCGAAATCACATTTTAATGATTAGATCGCTAAATCACATTTTAATGATTAGATCGCCAAATCACATTTTAATGATTACATCGCCAAATCACATTTTAATGATTATAGATCGCCAAATCTCATTTTGATGATTAGATCGCCAAATCACATGGCAAATTAAAAAAAGGAAACCGTTTTTTAGCCAACTGAATTAAACCTGCCCAGGCAAAACAGGACTTTTTTTCGAGAACTTAATACGTTGACATTTTGTAAAAAATTCAAAAAATTAAAAACTAGACAACGGTTAAAAAAACCTTCGTGTTTTGAATGGGTTACGTATGATTAAAAACAAAAGTTACAAGATAAAAAAATTAACAATTATTTTTGTCAGATATCAAGTGACTAACTACGGGTTAGGCGGACTATGTGAAGCTCATTTTGACTCTCAGGCCTTCTTCGAGGGTATAAACGTGGAGAAAGAAGGTTCAGTGAACCGGGGTGATTACATTGCCACCATCATGGCCTGGTTAACTTCTACCCCTGCAGGAGGAGGAACAAGCTTCTTCAGCTCATTCTCATCAGTTACTGTCAATCCAACGAAAGGAAGTGCGGCATTCTGGTGGGACATTACTCATCAGAACTATCGCGACCGAGGTAAGAAACGGAACTAAGGGTTTTCTGTACTAAAGGGTTTCTAATTAAAAGGTACCCTCCGTTCAAAAAAGTTTTATGACTGATTCACGAAGGTACCCTATTCTTTCATTTCTATCTGAAAAAAAGGATCATCGAAAAAGTGACTTGTAATTAGACAAAGTTAGATAGGGTCGAATTTGAATTGGGGTGATGAGATGACGGTTAGTGTCCTCTAGATGGGTTTCTATAGCATAAAGAGAAAAACTCTGCTCTGTGAATTAAGCTAATATTTCCATTTCAAAATGTTCCATGCAAAGTATTAGAGTATTAGGGGTTAAGCAATGGAAATCTTAAAACACGGAGTTTAAAAGCTTTAAGACATTTTTTTATTTGAATTATATTAACTTAAATATATTTATAATCTAAACCATATCACAAGGGAGTTCTCCATAACTTAAATATATTCATGATATAAACCATATCACAAGGGGGTTCTCCATAACTTAAATATATTTATGATATAAACCATATCACAAGGGGGTTCTACATAACTTAAATATATTTATGATATAAACCATTTCACAAGGGGGTTCTACATAACTTAAATATATTTATGATATAAACCATATCACAAGGGGGTTCTACAAAGTATAAAAAATTCTTCACTTTTCACCTTTATAGTTTTAAAGAAATTATAGAATTGAAGTCTAATTTGGATTATTAACGTATGTATCATATATATGCATCTCTATCTCAATTCTATTTGGGCAAAACCCATATCCCATCTATATTAGACAAAATAAAACAATCTAGATAGTTTTAAAATAAATAAAATCAGTCAGCCCTGATTCCTGAACATACCTACACAATATTAAATGGAGTGTTCGCGAAAAATTAAATTCGGGATTATCCTACACCCCTTTCATTTTCGCGAACACTCCCTTGAAGTGTATGTTTTTTCCTTCAGGAACTAAACATGGCGGATGTCCGGTAGCTGTTGGATCTAAATGGATTCTGAATAAATGGGTTTATAGTTTCAACCAATGGAATAGGATACCTTGCAGGTCAACATTTGAAAGTTTAAAGGGACTGTAAGTGTAAATTCCAAGTGACCCTTCATGCAAAGACGACATTGCCAGATTCACAACGGTACCCTTGAAACATTTAACTGTTTAATGTGTAGAGAGAGATATATTTTTAAATACAGGGTGTCCCACGAAACATGACAGTATGCAAGACGACTTGAATATCGTCTTGATTTTTGATATAATTTGCTGCATTTATTTGTCAACCTAATTTTAGAAGTAAATTTCTAGAGATAATAATCACAAAATTCCCCAAGTGAACAATTTCGTTCAGATTTCGACAATTTTGCTTTTATTTAAAAAAATTTAAATCTGAACCAAACTATTTATATCTCCGGTAATATTGAAAGCACAAAAAACGCAGACCACTTTTTGGAAATGCCAGGGCTAGGAGAATTGTGTTATAATTGTTTCTAGAATCGTACATGTTAAAGTAGATAGAAGACTAAATGTCACAAATAAATTCAAATATCAAAGACGACTTTCAAGTCGTCTTGCTATTGTCATGTTTGTGGGACACCCTATATATCGAAAACCGCTTAAATTCCTTCAAAACGCGACTGTACACTGTGTACAGTCTGAACTCAAACAGCTGATCAGTTACTTGCCTAACTAGAAAGTAGATGGACTGTTTTACGTTAACAGAGTTTACAAACATTTAAAAGTAAATTTTTAATATCGGCACCGTTTAGAAACTCACATTAAATGATATTTATTAAATGTATTAACTGTCCTGGATCAGTCCAAGGTTTAAAGGTTTAAAGATTTAAAGGTGTGAAGGTTTAAAGGGTACAGTTGTGAATCGGGGATGCTAATTTTTAAATGGAAGGCCACTTGAAATTACGCGTACAGTCCCTTTAAGCATTTAAAAATTAATTTATAAAACCTTCAAAACATATCAGGAGGTCCTCAGGCAGCATATTTAAACATTAAAATAAACCTCCATAAAGGGACTGTCAACGTAATTTCAAGTGACCTTATACATGCTCGAATAACAGTGGTAACTTTGTCCGAACAAATATGAAATCTCCTTTAAAGTAACTTTCAAAATTATGCAGAAGATACAAAGGAAAAATCTTTCTAATTGTTACCCAGATAATGATTGAAAAAGTACGGTTTTGAATCATATGCATGAATGAAGGGTCAGATAAAATAACGTTGACAGTCTCTTTAAATAGATTAGCTCATAATTCCAAAATTCCAAATGGACGGAATCTGAATTTTAAATGTTTTAGCGTCAAAGAGGAGAATCTTTAACAATGCCATGATAAGAAACAGGAAAATAATCTGGCACAAACTAATCTTAAATAAAAACCAATTATTTTGCAAAATATTGGATTCTAATAATTTGTCCTAAATGGATTGGATTCAATTGTCACGTGACACAATAACACCTTTTTTATTGACAGGGTATGTTCACCAATCAGAAAATAATTTTTTTAATATTAAACATAACTAATTTAACATTAAAATTATTCATGGCCAAAAAAATTGTTTTTTTTTGTCTCCGTAAATTCTAAAAATATTTTCCATGCAGCTAATAAAAGTAATATAGATTTTTAAACCATTAAATATTCTGAATATTTTTTAAAAAGCAGAAAATATTTATGGAATGTTTAAGAAAACCGCGGGTTTTCTGGCAAAACTTAAAGGCTAATTTAAAGAAAGTTTTGGAACGTTGATGGGTCATCTTTAAACCGGAAGATTAAAAAAATTGGGATATCAGTATTTTTAAATATTTGAACAATCCCTTTAAAGTTTTATATTTTAGGCTTGAAAAGAAAAACGAAGATCAAAGCTTGTACAGTGACAATATTGGACCCTTCTCACAAAACAGAATGTTTTAGACTCTCCAGTCCTCTCCCTCGAGACCTCTCCCTCCAGACCTCTCCCTCTAGACCTCTCCCTCCAGACCTCTCCCTCTAGACCTCTCCGTCCAGACCTCTCCCTCTAGACCTCTCCCTCCAGACCTCTCCCTCCAGACCTCTCCCTCCAGACCTCTCCCTCCAGACCTCTCCCTTCAGACCTCTCCCTCCAGACCTCTCCCTCTAGACCTCTCCCTCCAGACCTCTCCCTCCAGACCTCTCCCTCCAGACCTCTCCCTTCAGACCTCTCCCTCCAGACCTCTCCCTCTAGACCTCTCCCTCCNCCCCCACCTTAATACGCCTCCGATCTTGATCCAATTTAACGTATATTTAATATATTATATATGTATTAAGTCAAACTAAAGTAAATTTCTTGAACCAAAACTTCCATTTTTCAAGAGCTTTTAAGAAGAACAAAAAGAATTGAGTTTTTGCGACAAAGTCAAATTTCTGATCCCATATATGTCGCAACCAGATGGTGTAATCCTTTGATATTTCAAGATTTATTTCGTTTGACAGAATTCTTAGTTTGAAATATCTAAGGTCTATGACATTCGGTTGCAAAGATATAGGGATTAGAAAAAAGAGTTTGTGGCAAAGGCTCAATTCCTTTATAAAATTTCTAAAATGAAACCGGTCAGATAGACTCGTATCATACTTTATTATCCAGATTTTTACCATTTTTCTATAATGTCGAATATTTATAATTTAACATCAATCTAGTTTTTGCAAATTCAAACTTTAAAACAGATTTCAAATAATTAAATTTATTATCAAATATTGAAAATTGCACAGAGCAGTGGGATAATTTTACTATTTTACAGAATACACAGTTTGTAAAATATTTAATATTTATGTAATAAACGTATAAAAATCATCTTTAACTCATTAATACACCAAAATTATTTCATCATAATTAATATTTTAATAATTAAGGGACACTCTGTACNGGGCTCAACGCCATATTTTCTACTTTTCCGGGGGATTACAGCGAGATTGGATACAAGGATATCGGATAACCAAGATTGGATACAGGGAGATTGGATATAGAGAGATTGGACACAGAGAGATTGGATACAAGGAGTTTAGATACAGAGATGTTGGATACAGAGAGATAGGATACAGAGAGATTGGATACAGAGAGAGATTGAATAAAAGAAGATTGGAAACAAGAAGATTGGATACAAAGAGATTTGATACAAGAGGATTGGATACTAGGAGATTGGATACAAGGAGATTGGATACACGGAGATCGGATACAAACAGATTGAATATAACTAAGTTGAATACAATGAGATTGAATACAGGGAGATTGGATACAAGGAGATTGAATACAATGAGATTGGATACAAGGATATTGGATGCAAAGAAATTGGATACAAGAAGATTGGATACAAGAAGATTGGATACAAGGAGATTGAGTAAAGAGAGATTGGATAAAAGGAGATTGAATAAACGAAGATTAGATACAAGAAGATTGGATACAGAGAGATAGAATACAGAAAGATACAGTGTAGGATACAGAGAGGTTGGATACAAGGAAGTGAAGTAAGACATCTAAAAAAAGGAAACTGGTAATGGATAAATAGTTTTATTGCTCTCAAATGAATTCTTAAAATAAATTAATTTTGATTCTACTTAAGGTTACATGCCAAGGAGAAGAAAAAATAATTCAACATTAGTTTAAATGCTTTTTTGTTCAATATTTTGGAAAAAAAACTTTTAGAAATTTCTATTTTGGTAACTATCTTTTTGCCTGTAAAATGCCCTTCGGGAAGTGTGCATTGTTTTTACCAGTGAGATTGCTATTAATTGTTTTTATATTAATTGTTTTCCCGTTCTTTTTGGTGGTTACTTTAGTATTCTCTGTAATTTGATGTGTACTGCTGCTTATAAAGTGTGCTGTTACTAATGAAGTGTACTTCTTGGTGAAGGTTTCAGTACACATAATGGTTTCATATATTTAACAATATTTGACATAAAGATCTAAAAGCACGGACCTAGGGGGGTGAAAGGATCGATAAATTTGAGAAATATGAAATATCCCGAAATGTGCACATCAAGTTTTACCATTTCTGAATAATCTTATGGAATTAAAAAATATTCAAAAACATTTGAACCCTCGATTGACTGTATTTACAAATGTTTTATCAGGCTCAATTCTTGCTTGTAGGTTAACTTGAACATGTTTCTTATAATATCAATTGATCACAACATTATTTTATAAAACTAGCCAAAAATAATATCACTAGCAAATACTGAAAACTAAGAGTAAAAAGCAAAATGAGTATTTTTAACTTTCACAGAAATTGCGCATTTTATGCTTTCTCCAATAATTCAGTCTGGTAACAGCTGACGAAGCAGCTGTTGCATCAGCTGACAGGTACACTGTGGAACACAGTTCATAGTGCACCTGAGCATTGAGATCACTCTGCTAGAAGACCAAATATATTCTTCCAGGACATGGACTCCTCGGGTTATTGGTTTGGAGGTTCAGGAGAAGTATCTGGTTCATCTCCTCCTTCAACTTTAGTTTTATTCTCCTTCTTCCATTTCATCCGTCTATAATACAAACTATTAAACCAGAAAATATTTTAAATTCTATATTTAGTACTTTTTATTCTATATTCTCTATTCTGTTTTCTGTGTTCTGTAATCTGTATTTTGTATTCTGTAATCTGTATTTTGTATTCTGTATTCTGTATTCTGTATTCTGTATTCTGTATTCTGTAATCTGTATTCTGTATTCTGTATTCTGTATTTTGTATTCTGTATTCTGTATTCTGTATTCTGTATTCTGTATACTGTTTTCTGTATTCTGCATTCTGTATTCTGTATTTTGTATTCTGTATTCTGTATTCTGTATTCTGTATTCTGTATTCTGTATCCTGCATTCTGTTTTCTGTATTCTGTATTCTGTATTTTGTGCTCTGTATTCTGTATTCTGACCTGTTCTGAAACCAGATTTTAATTTGTCTCTCAGTAAGACAAAGAGCATGTGCTATTTCTATTCTTCTCCTTCGGGTTAGGTATCTAGAAATAGATTAAAGTTTATTCTAGAAATAGGTTCAAGTGAATTCTAGAAATAGATTGAAGTTTATTCTAGAAATAGGTTCATGTTGATTCTAGAAATAGGTTCAAGTGAATTATAAGGTCTGTCTAAAAAAAAATTGCGGTAAAATTGTAAAGTGGATTCCCTCCAAACAACTAAATTTGGGTTTGGTTAAGTAACATTTCCTTAACATTCCCGCTCATTACATTTAATAAATACAAATATTTTATAAATTCATCCAAGCATTTTCAACGTTTTTTAAAATTCGTATAAATAGGATTATATTTCTAAGTGCTGCTCAATGAGTACAAATTACCTGTTGAAATGAAATTCCTTCTCCAACTCTAATGTTTGATATCTTGTATAAGTTTGGCGTCCACGTTTTCTTTCTGAGCAAAAATATAGTTTATTCCCAGATAGTTCTACAATTGATACAAGTATAGCAAACTGATACCCGGCCATAGGATCGTCATTTTAATATTATTAGTTAAAACAAACAAACTTGCACTGAACCAAAACCTTTTGATAAAGCTAAGGTTTTATAAATAATTTTAAAATCTAAGATATTTTTTCTTGATAACCCTGTTTATGACCAGATTTATTATTAAACTGGAAATATTTGTATTTTGTATTTTTCAATTTGGAGATGATGCAGAAATATTTTTTTTGGTTGTTTGTGTGGACAAAGTTCTCACCGAACTGTGACCGCATCCAGGGGTAAAGAGGTGATGGAACTGGAGCTGATTGACCACCTTGACCACCTGGGGGAATAGGAGAAGGTTGTCCATGTCCTGCTAGAGAATAGGAGTTGGCAAGGTGTTGTGATGGAACATTATTATTCCAGGCTCCAGGTGGTTGAGTACAGGGGTAGGCGGGGTACTGGCCAGGATGAGGACCTGTCCCTACCTCCATCTAAACATTTAGAAAAATAGATGTTTTACAAGGATATGTCTTGAGACCCTATTTATTTCTTTATTAGGTTTTTTCTTTAGATAGGAACAAGATTATTTAAACAGTTTTTATTTAAAAAGGTGTATGAAGGTTAATTTTGCTGTTTATGTCTTTGAAATAGAGTATTTTTTGTCAAGGCAGTTAAAAGACTTATTGAAAGAAAAGGTTTTATCGTAATATTTAGGAAAACATATTACCTTAGTTTCTGGAGGGCTAGGTGGACCTTGTAATTTGCAACTGTACATGTTCCCCTGGGCGTACTGCGTAGCCTGGGTCGGGCTGTCTGCTCTAGTCTGACTGACCGGCTCATGCCAGCTTCCTGCGCTACCACTGGGGTCAGAGCTTACTCCAGAGACGCCATGCAGGTAGTAACCGTTTCTACATTGGTCAACATGGTTAAAATTTTGCCATGTTGAATTTAAAGATTATTTTTTAGGCTTCCCAACATCCTTTTAAATTTAAGTTAAGTTTACAGAATTTTGGTTAAAAACGAGAAATAATAGGACCATCCTCAATTTTAATTTTATGAAGGTGTGAGACAAAATACATGAATTTGTTTTGATTTTACCAAAAATGTCATTAGAAAAATTTCTTACGATAACTATTTTCAAGACCTTAAATAAACAAGAAAATTAAACCTGGAATCATAGTAGGGGTATCTCTGGGTGGGACTTCCCTGTGGAACCTTAAACAATAATAATAATGATAATGATAATAATAATAATGATATAATAAAAAAAAACATTGTACCTGGTGATGATATCCTGCCCAGCTATGCTGCCGGGCATCTTCACATCCTCCTGTTCCATAGTAGTGACCGGCAGGGTAGCCGCTACCTTCATATCCCATACCCATACCCTGTACTCCTGTAAATATACAGTTTAGTTTTATAATATATTTTCGACTATTTTGAATCTTTGTAATTTAAGATTTAAAATTGCAAAACAAATTAAAAATAATTTCTCAGTTTTTATATATATTTGTATATACTGTAGCTGTACCTGTACCCTTGGTAAACTGTAGCTGTACCTGTACCCCCGGTATATTGTACCTGTACCCTCAGTATACTGTGCCTGTACCTGTACCCCATGGTATACTGTAACTGTACCTGTACCCCTGGTATACTGTAGCTGTACCTGTACCCCTGGTATACTGTACATGTACCTGTACCCTCAGTATACTGTACCTATACCCCCTGTATACTGTACATGTACCTGTACCCCCTGTATACTGTACCTGTACCTGTACTCCCTGCATACTGTACCTGTAACCCCTGTATACTGTACATGTACCTGTACCCCCTGTATACTGTACCTGTACCTGTACCCCCTGTATACTGTACATGTACCCCTTGTATACTGTACATGTACCTGTACCCCCTGTATACAGTACATTTACCTGTACCCCCTGCATACTGTACATGTACCTGTACCCCCTGTATACTGTACATGTACCTGTACCCCCGTCATGTGGAAGATGAGTATCCCCGGAGTACGGGAGAGGTTCTGTTTTCAACTCCACGGTCGACAAATTCCCGGACAGAATTTTGGAAATTTTTGGTCCTGGACACACGCCCAGGACACTTGTAGAAGAACTAGAGGACTAGATAGCAGTGTCTAGGACACCAGAAGAGGACTAGATCTTCCTCCTCAGGACTAAACCAGGACTGGAACAAGGACTGGATCTGGCTACACCTTCAACACTGTCATTTGCCTAAACATGAAGATTGTTAGAAAAGGGAAATTTTTGATAAATATAATCTAGAATTATTCTAAGGTAGAAAGATATTATGAAGTTTAAAATCTAAAAATATTAATGCAGAATTTATAAATACTGCTGCAATAGATTTATAGATATCTTTTTTAAGTAAACAAATCGATACGAAAGGAACTTTTCAAAAGATTATTTTATGATTCCAGAGAATTATATTTAGTAGCATTTTAAAAAATAATAATTTACGTGACTTATTCCGAGCAATTTACCCAATTTTCCAATCTTGAAATTAAGCTATCCCATTGTTTATAACAGTGAGATCATATAGTTGTGGCATAGGAAGACGACTGTTAGACTCAAGCAATGATTTGAAATAATCCAATGAACATACAGGGTGTCCCACATCATATTAGATCGTCAATCGGTCTAAATTGCGATTTTCGGGACTCATTTGAAAATTTAAGAAGAATGAATTATTTTAAAAAAATTGAATAAGGCTAATAAAAAAATTTTCTTGTGGAAAATACTAAGTATTTCGAGTATTTTGGGTTTATTTCGGCGTTAAAACTTGGAGATAATCTAATATGATATGGGACGCTCTGTATGAAACATAGCAATTGTACAGTGAATACAGACAGACATATTTCAATCAATGGTAAAACTATTTCTACATTATTAGTCTATTTGTTTTTCTTCTCTATTTAGTTAGATTTAATCATTTTTTTAGAATTGATAAAATTGACTTGGAAACCTAGAATTGTTTAAGAACCTGGAAAAAAGCGCAAATAACGGTTTTCTGGACATGGTTCAGTTTTAGGATGTTTTACTAGGTTTATATGGTTTAAAAGGGTAAAGATGCCTATAGTCTAGGGATCTATAAAGAGCTGTAAAACCCTTTATACTCTCACTTTCGGTTCAAGGGTCAAAATATGTTTTTTTTTGGAGAGAGGGGGGATGTTTTGCCCGTTTCCGTTGTATACAAGTTGGGATCTACGCAATGTTATGCATTAAATTTGAATTTAATTGCATATTTTTGGTCCTAAAAGTGTTAAGACCCCCCCCCTTCTTCATCCTTTCCTTTTATCTTTGGGGTGAGTGTAGTGCAGTTTATTGCAGTTTATATTGGGTGCAATCAAGGTATAAACCTGGAGACACATACTTGACCCAATATACGTGAACCCATGTATATTTTTCAATACTCAGTTATTTTCTACCCTTCTTCTTACACACATTCAATAATAAAGTGAATTGAACTAGATTTACTTTATTTGGGTGATCTGATCGTGATCATGTATAAGATAAAGCATGTGATAATAATATTCTATGTTGAATCTAAGAACGGTGTCTAATCTAAAAATAAAGTTCGCAGGGTAAGTTTGATGTAGATAACACATTTAGCTGAATTCAATTGACAAAAAAAAACAGAAACCAAAGTCTAAAGTGTATAAGGCCAAAGTTTATTCATTTATTCTACACACTGCATGATATTGATAATATAAAGCTTTAACACCATATCATAGAATCAAGGGTACATTATTTTTATTCAATTATGGTTTTTGTTTTTGGGCAAAATAAATATTGAATTATTTATTTACTTATTTTGTTTATCATTTTATTTTAATTATTAATCTTGATCTCGCGAAACAATAAAAAGATATTATTTATAGGAATGTTTCATTGATTCAATTAATAGTACCCATGGTCATTTTTCTCTTTGAAAGTAATCTCTGTTTCACCCTTTGTAAAAACTTAAAAATAATTCTTTTGACAGTTTTTATTGTGAATTTTCTCCACTAGGTGTCTCTCTCGGCTCTCTTTTTTAGATCCAAATCCCCCCCTTGTAAGTGCTGCCACCATGCTATGAAATTTTCAGCGAAAATATGCACTTTTGCAAACCCCGAGGCACAGCTATGCATATTGCAAAAAACAAAAGTGTAGATGCAAGTTCCCAATTTTTGGATAAATTTTTCAAATTTTAACGTAATAATATAACAATATCTTAAAACAAACGAATTGTTTTAATTCTGTTAAATATATAATAAAATTCAAAAATTATTTTTTTATTCGGTTGAACAGAAGAATGATTAAGAAGTTTGTGGAAAATGTTTGAAAAAGTTTAAAATTGTCTAGTTTTCCTTCTACATTGTGTATCCTGGATATAATAAATTAGTTTTGAAAAGTTTAGTTAGGAAAACCAATCTAAATTCTAGTGTTCAAGCTCCCTCCCCCTGCTCCCCCCCTCTCATCCTCCCCTTCTACTGAAAAGTAATTATTTAATTATAGACCGAAATGCGTATGAATTAAACTCGAAGAAACATATCGTGTTCTGATTAGTCTAGGGTGGAGGAGTGACATCAAAGTTTTATTTGTGAATTCTATTATTATTATTATCTACAAAAATTGGATTTTTTTAGTGCTGGGGTTTCTCCTTCTCTTCACGTTTTCTCTTTGCTATTCACCCATCCTTCTTTTTTTTCCCTGTTTTTAAAAATTACTTTGTGAATTGTGTAATGTATTCGTTATTTGTTAATTTTAAAAAATAAAATGTATCTATAAAACTTTGGAGGGCCAGCCAATCAAAACAACCAGAAATGGTTAGGCTGTAGCCCTGGCTAATAATTGTTTAGTAAAAAAATTATAAAATGTAAAATGTATTTATTATAATGTTAGCCGAAATATCTATCTATCTATCTATCTATCTATCTATTAGATTTCAGCAACACGGTTGACGTGTTTAAGGGTTTACTCAAGAATCAAGACCTACTGCATTATTAACGGTATATAATACACAATTAAATCCAGTCTGCATTTTAGACTATTAGCAAACTATTTAGAAATTGGCCCAGTAGCAGTTTGTTATTGTTAACGGAGGTGTTTTTAGTGTGTGATATGAACAAAAAACGTTCAAACATTTTGCATTACTCCATAGTGTACTGTGCATGTTCTTATACAAAAACCTTTCAACAGATTGCAATATAACAGTGATATAAAATCAAAGTCCAATCCAAAACTAAGCTTCCGGTGTGTACTGCAGTGACCTGAAGTAGTTGCTACACTTCAAAGTTGATATGTTCTATATGATATGTTCTATATGATATGTTCTATATGATATGTTCTATATGATATGTTCTATATGATATGTTCTATATGATATGTGCTATATGATATGTTCTATATGATATGTTCTATACGATATGTCTATGAAAGTTAAATAAACATTTTTTTGTCCGCAGGATATGATCGGGTTGTTACGATCAAATCTCGGAATTTTTTCTATTGCAAAAGTTTGGTGTTGTCTGGGTTTTTATATTGATCTACCAGGGGTTGTAATCTGGCAGCACATTCATCCATCCACGCTTCATTCATGGAAGTATAAACAGATTGAAGTTTTGTATGAGAAGGGGGAGGAAAGAAAGAAGAAAGAAAAGGCAAAGAAGGAAAAGGGGAGAAAATGAGCAGAAAGGTTAAGAAAAGAAGGAGAAGGGAGAGAAAAGAAGGAGAAAGGTAAGAAAAGGAAAAAATTGATAGGAAAGGAGAAAGCTGTAGAGGAACTGGTTTAGTAAAGAGAGGAGAAAAGAAAGAGGTGGAAGTTGAAGGTGAGAAGGTGCAGAAGGTAGTAGATGAAGGGTTTGGGAGAAGGTGCAGAAGGTGGGAGAGGTATTTTTAGAGGAGAAGGTGTAGAATGTGGTAGAGTAAGGTTTAGGGGAGAAGGTGCAGATTCAGATGGAAGTAGAGGTATTTTTAGAGGAAAAGGTAAAGAAGGTGGTAGAGTAAGGTTTAGGGGAGAAGGTGCAGATTCAGATTGGGGTAGAGGTATTTTTAGAGGAGAAGGTACAGAAGGTGGTGGAGGAAGAGATAGGGGAGAAAGTGGGAGGTTAAGAAATAAGGGAAAAGGTGAAAGATAGTAGAGGAAGGGATAAGGAACAAAGTGTAAAGGGGGGTATAGAACTAGAAGAGATGGGAGAAGGAGGTGGGATTTGTATAGAAGAAGAAGAACATGTATATAGAAGAAACGAAAAGAAAAATTCAACCTTGATAAAGTTTTAAACAAAAAAATAACAACCCCTATTTAAGAGGAAATGAAGTTGCGTGG